GCTGCTACTCCTGCTGCTGCTGCTGCTGCTGCTACTGCTACTGCTGCTGTTACTGCTGCTGCTGCTATTGCTGCTACTCCTGCTGCTGCTGCTGCTGCTGCTACTGCTACTGCTGCTGTTACTGCTGCTGCTGCTATTGCTGCTACTGCTGCTGCTGCTGCTGCTGCTGCTACTGCTACTGCTGCTGTTACTGCTGCTGCTGCTATTGCTGCTACTCCTACTGCTACTGCTGCTGCTGCTACTGCTACTGCTGCTGTTACTGCTGCTGCTGCTATTGCTGCTACTCCTACTGCTACTGCTGCTGTTGCTACTGTTGCTGATGTCGTTGCTACTCCTGCTGCTGCTGCTCCTGCTGTTGCTCCTCCTACTGCTACTGCTACTGCTACTGCTGCTGCTGCTGCTACTGCTACTGCTACTGTTACTACTGCTGCTGCTACTGCTACTGTTACTGCTGTTACTACTGCTGCAGCTGCTCCTGCTACTGTTGCTACTGTTTCTACTCTTGCTGCTATTGCTGCTGCTACAAAATAAAACGGGAAAAGTTTATTAATTCGACTAATACTGCAGCATGGTTTCAGCATTTTACCGTTGTACGCTCTCCTTCTTTATACGCTCTTGATTTAACCATATTGTCAAATATTCGCTTGCGCGTGACCCCTGACCTTTAGAATTTGACGCATACGCACTCTTTCTACTGGGGGCGCCACCATCCAATGACATTAGAAAACGCAAGTACCCACTTTTTCCACTAGGGGCGCCATTATCCAATAGCATGAGAAAATGCTATCAGAGCATATATTGATATGTTGATTTATATGCTCTGATGCTATGCTCAAATATGACTCTTTGGCGACATCTCGCGTGAAAAATAGTAATGTGCGTATATGTGGAATAAATCAGATGAATATATCGGTCACCTGATTTACATTTTACTACAACGTTTTTCACGAATAAGAGTAACGGAGTACCAGAGACAATAAAACAGACTCCGTTCTAGGGTCTCTGGGAGTACAATGTATTTGCTATAGGCGAGTATATGTGTCAAAAGTGCCCAAAATTCATGTTTTTATATGTAATAAATCTGTAACAATTGTAAATGATGTAGACATGTATATATGATTATAGATGCTATAATCTCTTGCATCAGTAAGTAGCATTGATGCTAACCCATAAAACGTGTTTTGTAGTTTGCTATTAAAATTGTATAATATTACAGTAGGTTCACACGCACTCGCGCATGCACGCACGCACGCGCGCACACACGCACACACGTACACACACGGTATAAATCTGCTGGTGTTTTCTAGCATTACCGATACGTTGTCGATGCTAGATTGTTATTGTGTTATGGTGTTAGCTCACGTATGCTGATTGTTTGGTAGTTTTTTTGTGGGCATCAAAGCAAACTCGACTTTGGATTTATTCAGACATTCGAAGAATTAGTTTGCGAACGAAACTTTAGGATTGTTTTCATTTTTCTTCGTAACTCAGCAGTGCTTTGTGTAGTATGTCGACTGACAGTATTATAGAGAGAGCGAGAGAGAGGGAGAGACAGTCAGAGAGAGAGAGAGAGAGAGAGAGAGAGAGAGAGAGAGAGAGAGAGAAGCGCATGCTCATCATGTAAGCAAACAAGTTTTGGTTTG